CAACCCCCTCCCCAACAAACCCCCTCCCAGCTTTTTTTTTGCAATTCACCCTCCGTGCTTTCTGTTCTGAGAAACATAGCAACAATCGTCACTCGCGCTTGATTGAACCTAAAGGGACACGTCTTAGCTCCGGCATTGGAAGCCTTGGGGCCCTGCAGCGCCTAAGAATCAGTGAATCCTGAGCCACAGGTCTGCCAGTCGTCACGATAGACCGGTGGTTCGCAAGATCCTGAGGTGCTGAGTAGTCACTTCCCGGACATCCATCTAAGGAATCACAGCACGCGTGCAGACCATGTGACTCACTCCCGGAGCGGACTTTCAACTTTTTGGGTAGTGGTGAACAACCAGTTTGATTTTGCCATCCACTGGTTGGCAAGTGGGAGTGGCTCAAAATTATTCAACTGGGGTTACGCAGGTTCTAGTCTTTGGTTTCAATTGCCAAGGTGCCATTTTCGTTCAGGGGAGGTGAGGAAAAATCAGAGTTCAAACGACGTCTATGTATCCTGTTCAACCGGAAAATCCGTGGCGATCGCAAGCTTGGGCCGTGATGCTCCACCTATTGAACACTGAAAACTGGCTGCGGAGAAAGCAGAACAAATGTATTTGGCGCAGAAGGAAGCCCACAAAAAAATCGGCGGCTGCGCCAGGGAGGCATCTGCGAAGGCCCAGAAGGCGAGTTTCTGGGAGGGTGCCACGGTGGAGGGTGCCGCTGGTACCCACCAGCTAACCAGCTAACGACTAGTACTACTACTATTACTACTACTACTATTACTACTATTACTACTACTACTACTACTACTACTACTACTACTACTACTACTACTACTACCACCCTCCCAACGACTAGCATGTTTTGGTGCACAGACCCGGGAGAGAAAGACGACTTTCCTCTTGGTTAGTTGGCCTTTTTGCACAAACCCATGTTAGTGGGGAGGATATCTCACTTCCAGAGTTGGACTTGGCTGTGAGAGTTTCCCTACACCAACAGGGGACAATCAAGCATGCTCACTTCAGCAAATGGAAGTTTGCAAGCCCGTCCCCATTCCAAGATGGCTGTGGCTCAAAAGCATGTACCAAAATGGCACCCTGGTAAAGGGAGCCAAAGACTATAACCTGCGTAAGCCTAGCTCTTTGATTTTGTTGATTTTGAGCCACACCCACTTCACACTTCTTGGGCTTGGACCATTTTAGTGGCAAAGAAGTTTGGACCTTTTTGGGGCCATCCACTCGTTCGGAAGGGACAAAGAGAACATGCAAGCGGCTTTCTCAGAGCTTTTAAATTGTTCTGGCAGCCCCAAGCGCTCCAAAACGTTCATCTTTGTTTCCTAGAGATTCCAGACACCCGTATATACTATTTTACTTGTTTTGTCGTTGTAAAGATCACGTTTTGGGACCCTGGAAGGTAACTCTCCTTTGGTAGAGGTGCTTCAAGGGGAGCTGTGGAGGACCCACATAGGCTATGTTAAATTTTGAGGCTAACTAGATATGACATAGAGTCAATGTTGGTCTTGGAATACCCTAGATGTGGGCCAAGATAGCTGGGCATTGGCCACCATGTGCTTGCGGCGCTTGCGGTGGATTGCCATTGTATGAGCTGCGCAAGACTTGTCACGCGAATCTGGTGAGCAACTTCTTTTTTGGGGTAGGTTGGTGATGATGCTGGTTGTCATTGCCTTTGCTACGCTATGACTGTATCTTTTTAAGAAACGATTCTTCACGCAATGTGGTGCTATTGACACCGAAGCCGTAGCCAACCGGGTTTTACAGAGGGCCATGGAATCCTTCCGCTCGCCTTGCCTCCCACTTGCTGACGCACAACATCCTGTACCAATTGATGGTGGTTTATCCTAGCAACTATTGGGTTTCATCCATGCCAACTGCAATATTCTGTCCATCCACAGTATGGCGCTTACTGGGGGGGGGGGGGCGTTAACAGCACTGTGAAAAGCCTTGGAGCAGCACACTGAAACTGCGGCAGCCAATGACAGCGCAAGGAGTCCCAAGTTTTGTCAACACCTTTTGCGCCAAGAAAGCTCTTGGACACTACGCCCACTCCCCCTCCCCAAAGGCGTGAGAATGTTTGCTGTTGCCTGAACCTCGCAGAAGAATGAAAGCCTCGTCAGGTTGAAAACCAGTGTCCTTGCTTTCAGACTAGGGGTCATTGCCGGGCCAGCTTCCAAAGGTGTGACAACAATAAGCAGAGCATTTCAAGTGTTTGACACCTCTAGCCGGTCCAACTTGGTCCATCCTTCCAACTCGCGTCAGCGGCATATCATATCCCCACGAGAGCCTAGCGGGTCACGGAGCTTCCCCACGCGGAAGCTCCCCACGGAAGCTCGGAGGGCCTAGCAAAAGGTATGCGGAGGGCCGAGTCAAGAAAACGGAGGCTCACAGGCCCGCAGCCAGCGCCAAAGTCGTTCAAGAGAAGCGAGTTGTAAGTTGTAAGATTCTGCAAACTCAGCCTCGGCCTCGTCACCAATGAAATGGCGGGAGTTTTGCGAACGCTGCGCGGAAGCTTGGCGGAATCCCTCTTTCTCCCTTTGGATGCAAGTGCATTCGTCTTGTCAAACTTGTACCTGAATCAACCAAGGAATGGGATTTCGCACAGAGCGACACGTGTGAATCCAATCTGCACTCAGAATTTAGTACATTGCTTGGTGGCTCCCAGCCATCCCCTTAGCCTTTTAGCTTTTTAGTGTTTATAATAGTGACTAGTGTTTAGTGGTAGTTTCCATTTAACGCAGTAAAAGTTAAACTTTTAGCGGGGGATCTGAGGACAGCCCAGATTGGATTGCCCCTTCGGCAAGCGACAGCTTCTGGCTCCGTTTCTTGGTGCCCTGTGGGGCTTCCAGCGCACCCGGGTTCGGGATCCGAAGGCCCCTAATCCATAGGTGTCCTTTTGATCGGTTAGTTTGGGTCTAAAAGTAGAAGGCACTGGTTTAGACGCTTGTTTCGAACAAGGCTCATAGGGTGCCTTATTTAAGGCTAGTTTGATTGAAAATCGATGGGTTCCACTGCTTTAGATGGTTTGTTTTCTTCCCCATTTGCCAGGGAAGCCCCTCGACTTTTTCCCAAACTTGACTGCTATTGGGTTGGATCTTTAGACTTTAACTTGTTGGGACATATTTCGGTGTTCTCCACGAAACCCCCAAAAAGTTGAAAAACGTTTTGCAGGGGGGTCAAGAGCAGCAACCAAGCCAAGGACACCTTGATGCTGCTTTTTTCCCCATTTGCCAGGGAAACCCCTCGACTTTTTCCCAAACTTGACTGCTATTGGGTTGGATCTTTGCTCTCTCGGATTTTTGTCCCAAAGATGTCGCCCGATGCCCCGCCCGCCCGAAGAGGTCGCGCAGATCCCCCGCTTCGAATGGGTCAGCTTCGGACAGAAAGCCTGGCAGGTGGAGCTCACGGCGATCACGGTGCACAAGGAGAAGCCCCTGGCCATCATCAAGCTCAACGAGGCGCGCTTTAAAGCTTTCACTTTCGCTTTCGCTTTCGGTCGCGGCTGGGTTTGGCGGCGGTTTTGCGCGAAATCGCTTTCGCTTTCGCTTTCGTCGCGTTTATTGGTTTGGCGCGTTTTTGGGGAAGTCTTGTTTGGGTCGAAAGGCCGCCTGGGGAGTTTTTTTCTGAAAGCCCGGTCGAAAGGCCAGAAGCAGGCCTATGGGTATGGGTCACAAATTGGTGCCCAAAATGGAACCAAGGACTAAAACCTGCGGTCTTTTGGTGGAGGAGTTTGGACTCACACCCCAATTCCATGCTGGGATAAGGACGTCACGAGGATCCTGCGTGAAGGGCCCTTCAATTCTGAGTGAGTCTCACAACCAGGGCACCTGCAGGCGGGTTTCACCGAATTTCCGGAAGTAGTAGACTAGGTCCCCCAGTAGTGCCCTTTCCACCCTTTTTTGGGGGAGGGTTCCCCTACTAAAATCGACTACAAAAAAAAGCTGGGTACCCTTCTAACCTCTCTACTGGAGGACCTAGTAAAGCCCATCGTAGCGAAGGGCTTCGGAATTCTTGCGCCGACCCTTGAGAATTCCTGGGCTGTTTCAGCTGGTTCAAAGGCACCGACCGGACGGATTTTTTTTTGGGGATCCGGTGTTCAAGCTCACAATCGGCCGTGTTACGTGTTGTTGTTTCGAACAGTTGGACACGTTGCACCACGGAGAATGAGCACTGGCTGATACTGGCTGGCCAGGTGTCTTTTTTTCTTCTTATACAAACATATAATCTATACGCCCAACGCTTATTTAAAAAAATAAAAAAAAGAAAAACACATTATATGTATTGTTATTATGTTTTATTTATTATTACTACCTGAGGCACCCAACGTGCCTTTTTTTTTTAGGTACGAGAAAAAAACGCTCGAATTACCGATTTCTGCTCGACCCCCCAAAAAACGCTCGCCCCCCGAAAAAACGCTCGACCACATCCCCTTCTTCCATCCAGAGGAAGGCGGGATTGTTACGCTTTTTAAATTTGCACTCGTTTGCGGATATTTGCGCTCGTTTTGCGGATATTTGCGCTCGTTTTGCATTTTGATTTCTGCTCGCTCCTTTTGAATATTCAGCGACCGATCATCTTGGAGGACCGACCAGCCCGGTTTTGGGAAAAACGCTCGAAGCAGGAAAAAGTGTACGTTTACCATATTTTGGTGACGACCCCTGGTTTTGCAATACGTTTGGGCTAAGGGCAGAAATTTATGTAACGAAGGGTGCTCCAGGTATTCTTGTTTTTCCGTTTTCTTGTTTTCTTTTCGTTTTTTGAGAAAATAAGGAAATAAAACCATGTGTGTCTTTGTTTCATAAAACCTAATGCTTGTTACCCTTCCATCCACGAACGAACCCAGCCAAGGGTCCCTCGATTAAAGTGGCCGTCGGACCCTCAGCACCAGCTTCCATGTCGGATGAACAAGTACCCTTTTTGTTTGGGCGCCGGCGTGCAAATGAAAACCCAAAGACGAGCACTTGTGTTTCGTTTGGGGGGTCTTGTTTTGAGACAGACCAACTTGAACACCGCCGTCGGGCATCCCGCTTAAAACTAGCGCACTTGCTTGTTTGTTGACTAAGGGAATCCTGCCAAGTTGCCGAACGGATATTTGCCGAAGAACTGCAACGAGGTTCGACTGCTAGTGGGTTGGATCTTTAGACTTTAACTTTTTTGGATATCAAGGGGTTTTCCACTAAACCCCCAAACAAGTTGTTCACTTTTTGCAGAGGGGTCAGCAGCAACCAATCTAGAAAACACTCCCCCATTCTTTCCAGGGATCCTTCTTTCCAGAAAACCATCAGCAGGGAAAACGGCCGGTTTTTGGAAAGAACGATGGTTGAAAAGAATGGAAAAGGAATCAACCCCTAGAACCAAGTCTGTTCCCCTGGGTTCTTGGGCACTTGGCTTCGAGGCTGGGGCCGCCAGAGCCATCATCGCGCAGAAGGCCCCCTTCATCAACGGCGTCAGGGCGCGACCGGGATCGTCTTCGGCAGTTTGTCTCAGAGGTCTTTGGTGCATGTTGCCAAGGGATGTTAGGACTTTGTTTTTTTTGCCAACTAATGGGGTTTCCATTGAACCACTGAAAGTTAAGTTGTTTGCGGGGAGCATACCGCAAACGAGAGGTGCACCACTGCGGTGTAAACCACAGGTTCCCTTTTAGGACTCCAACACATGGGTAGTGGGTAAACCGTCCCCTCTAACCATGGGTAGTGGTTAAACCATCCCAGCGGAGCTGGGAAGAGTGAAGGTTAAAGGCAGGGGCTTGGATTTGGGACCCGAGAAGGGCATTCACCCCAATCCTGGCATATTCTGGTCTGGCTTGCTCGGATGGAGAAACCGAACAAAACCACCTGTTGCAGGGTAAAGGTTGGAAGGGAGGCACAGAAAGCCAAGAGGGGACGGGTATGTCTCTGTGGTCTCAGACCTGCTGAGCGGGCTGCAAGAGATGGCAAGCCTCAGGCCAAGATTGAGCGTTGACTGTTGACGTTTCCGCTTGCCCATTCGTCACGGTCCCCAGATTCACAAACTCCTTGATGTCCACACGTCTCTTGGACAGGCTGACATAGGCAGATGGACGGCCAGACAGACAGACGGCCGAACAGACAGACAAGAGAAGCAAGAGAGAGAGAGAGAGAGAGAGAGAGAGAGAGAGAGAGAGAGAGAGAGAGAGAGAGAGAGAGAGAGAGAGAGAGAGAGCCAGAGGCAACGAGACAATATGGCCATGGTTCAAAACCAATGGGATCCCATTTTGGGATAGGTGCACCACCCATTTTAGAACCTATTTTAGTGGGCATTGGGATCCCTGACTAGAACGGAGGCTTCCAGACGGCTGTAAATGGAACTCCGGTCCGAAAGAAGGTCCATGGATTGAAGCATGGTGCACGGCGCCCGTTCGGCGGCTTTCCTTTTTCTGGTCCCACGTACCAACCTCCCCAGAATTCGCCCCCCTTTTTGTTTGTTTTTTTGTTTTGCTTTTTTGGGGGTGCCTTGGTTTTCCACCCACCAGGCAAAACAGATCTCGTTTTTTGGCTGGGGTCCTACTTCCAGCCCCGCGCCAAACGCCATCCTCAGGGCCCAAGGGGCAAAACCCACAGCGGGCAAATGCCCCGCGCCGTCGTCAGGTGCTGCAGTCCGAGGCTTCCGGGAACCCCGCGGCGGTGCTGATGAAATGGGAGGGCCCGAAGGAGGCGCTCAACGAGGCGGGGGGGTCCTCCGGCTGGGGCTGCTTCGGGTTTTTTCGGAGGAACCGAAGCCCGAGGCTCCAGGATTTTCAGAAGCAGTGAGGGGTGTCTGACATGGTTTTATGAAGGCCTTCTGTTTCTGGGCGGTGTAAAAGGGAAACCAAAAGGAAAGCCGGACCATTATTTGGGGCCTCAAAAATTGCCCCGTGTGGCAAACGTTCCATGTCTGGGCCCATTTTTTGCACATGGCAAGTTTGTGAATTGAAGATACACGCCACGAAGATGGACATGAACGAGGAGATGACCTTGAAGGTTCTTATGGGCAAGGCTTTAGGGACCGCAGCGAGTCTACCAGCTGAAAACAGAACTGGGGTCATAGGTGTTTTTGTTAGGTTTGGTTCAACATGGGCGGCGGTGGTTCAGATGAAGTTTTATGAATCATTTACCGGGGACACCCTTCCATTTTTCGGGGTCCTTGGGGCGGGTCCTTGGGGGGGTCCTTGCAAAAGGCCAGCTATGGGCAGGGTGATCATTCTGTGAGATCCGACATGCGCGGTGAGAAAGGTCAAGCTTCGAAAGAAGGTCAGAGAGGTGCCTGAAATTTAGCCATGGAGCAGAGGACAACGCTCAAAGGCGTACATTGTATCAGCTCTGGGCCTTTCTTCTAGCTGCGGGAGACTTGCTCCGACTCATGCAAGCGTGTCCCCGATCAGGATTCCCTTCATCGGCGATACTGGCGATCCCAAAAAAGCAATCGGGCCACCACCGGTGACTGTTGCAGCATAGGTTATACACCTGTTGTCTTTCCACTTTTCAGCCTTCGCAAAGGCTTAATTTCAGCCCTCTAAGCCTTTGCGAAGGCTGAACTTCCATCGCGGCTGTGTACACGGACCCTTACCTAACGACAAATGGAAAGGATATTCGCCAGGCAATGTGTTCTTGAGCTACTCGTCGGAGACGGATTACCTTTCCAGGGAAGGAAAGTAGCCTATAACGGGCCCCGTGCACCATGTTTGGGCAATGCAGAGGGCTGTACTCTGTGGACTTTGGAAATGCATCGATCCCTCAGTTGTTTAGTGGCACCCTTTTTCCCTTTTTCTTTGGTGGCTGCCCCACTAAAAATGGTCTTCCCCAAAAAGGGCTCCCTTTTTTTCCAGTTCGTCACTGAACAACTGAGATCCCTATTTAGATTGCATTGAACACCCCCCTATTCGCTTTCTGCTTGCGAAGCCGACTGGGTCCCTTTCTGGGGCAAGCAGCCCAGGCAAGAAGCTTGAAAGGCCAAAAAAAATAGGGTTTTCACACAAAAAACGCACACACAAACATGTGTTGTTTTTGTTTTTTCTCCACCCGTCTCCAAGTAGAAAGCTACACAAACATGTGTGGTTTGTTTTTTCCACCCGTCTCCATGTAGAAAGCTTTTCTCGCCTTCAGGCGATACTGAGCGCCTACTTCAACAACCTCATCGAGAACATCAACAAGGCCGCGTTCGGTTGCCGCGAGAGCGAAGATGGCTTGGCTGTCAAGGACCTTCTTCCAGAACGAAATTGAAGGTTTTTCCATCCGCCAAGTTGTTGCTCCCTTTTGATTGAAAAAGGTTTCCAACACCGGGCGACTTGCCAGCCGGGGGCGCCCTTTGCTTTCATCAGAAAGAGGGGGATTTTCCCTGTTGGATGGCTAAGCGAAAAGATGAGAACTCGAACTGTTGATTTGACCCACGTTGGGAATAGTTGAGTAGACGTGTGGTCCAAAAATCCTCCGGTTGCCCGAGGCCAGGAGCGCCGTTAAGCAAACAGGCATTGTTAACATGTGGCGCCTCGTGTTTGGGGGGGGTGTTCCTTGTTGGGCGTATGTACCGAGCATCAAGTGCAGGAGCAAAGTGGACTTCTCAAGATTGATGCTACAGCGAGCGTCGCTTTTATCACTGGCCAAGTGGGAGTTGATGTCATGTCCCAGGTCGGTTTGACATAAGCAACCGACCCGACGCGGGCATTTCCATTTATAAGATGTAGGGAATAGGTACCGCATCACGCTAAGCGCATGCGGAGGAACTGCAGTGAATGCAACGTGGAATGGACTTGATGCTGCTTCCAGGGGTTTGGGTGTGGGTACCACGTCTCGTTTTTTGGGGTCAGTAACGCCTGCAGAAGGCCAGACTTCCAGTGATGCCCCCCGGTATTTTTGGAGGAGGTGTTTCCTGTTTTTGTTCTCGTTTTGTTCTTTGGTTGTTGTTGTTTTTTTAGCGGAGTGCATTCCGTTTCTTTTGTAGTTTTTGTGTTGGGTGTTGTCCTTTCTATTCAGCAAACATGTGTGCACTTGTTTGGCCTTGGGCACTATTGTGTGGACCAGTGTGTCTCTTTGCCTTTCGGTCTCAGTGGTTTGATGAACGTATCCAACAAACACTGTTGGTTTTGCTGGTTGTGACGGAGCAACTGACAAGTCCAACATCGAATGCGCAAAAAAAGCACCCCACATGCAACTGGAGACGATTTGGAGGCTTTAAGTGGTGCCGATTTGGTTTGTTCCCGTTGCGCCTTTGTCCCATCCTTTGCAGCCATGTTTTCTCAGAAGTGACCAGTCAATTTAGAAGATGCTCGCTGCTTTGCCCGGAGAAAAACCACAGCTTGTAGCCTTTTTCTGGCGACCGAATTCACCCCAAATGGTGGTTTCTGTGGGGAATAGGTTCCCCCAACCACCTTATTTCAGGTTGCTGAAAGATTATAATTCACCCAGATGGAACCAGGTCCCTGAGCGCGTTGCTTGAGGCCCACGAATCGGTGGCCGAAGTTGGGTGCGCCCTGCCGGCGCTGGGGTGAGCATGGGAGCAGCAAAGCAATCACTCGCCCAATTTGGCTGCTTCCAAAGGGTTGTCGGGGTCAGAAGCCGGGGTAATATGGCTGTGATTCAAAACCAATGGGATCCCATTTTGGGGTAGGTGCACCACCCATTTTAGAACCTATTTTAGTGGGGATTGGGATGTTCACTAAGATTTTGACCCATGGCCATATTGCTTGCCATGGTTTTGTGAAGATAACACAGAGAGGCCAACATGGGGGGAAGGGGACAAACCACCAATGTTCAACCTGATGGCCGAGTCGCCCAAAGCTGACCCAGTGAACAATCCCTTTTTTGTTTGCGCTTGCAAAGCCTTGCTATCATAGGTGTCCTGTTTTTTGGGTCAGCTTGGTTGAAAATTGATGGCACTGGTTTGAGTTTGATGCTTATCATTTGCCAGTGCCATCCAATTGTCCAAAAGGATATCTGGGATTGGTTTGAGTCTCTGAGTCGTTTGGCGGGCACCCTTGTTCGGTTGGAGGCGCATAGTGCATCGCTGCATTTTGATTTCAGTTATAGCCCCGTTCATAGTAACTGTCGGTCCAGTGTGGATGTGCATGTTAATAAGTGTTTCAGGTAACTGCCCGCGGGTCCGTCAAGCAATGTGACCAGAATTGGATACACCACATATGGGCTTGTCTTTTTGAGCATATCTTTGTTGGGGTTGCGTCAATTAGAAACCAAAGGGAATAGTGATACCCAATGTGAAACTGCAGAAGGCTTGCCAGCGGTATTTTGCTGTTCTCGTGGAGTTCCAACTGCTTCCAGGCAGTTGTCGCTGTCACTTCTGGATATGAGTGCTTGGGGGCGTGTGGGATAAGTGTGCCCTTTGATCCGCCGTTTGGGTACATACGGGGGCTGTAGCTTTGTAATTGCTCTGCTCAAGGGGTCTGTTCATGTTCGCAGGAAGTGAAACGGCCAACCCTATGCCAGCAACAAGCTGATCCAACAACTCTTGCACCGGGCTTTCCCCCTGTTGGGCCTTTTTTCAGTAATCTTTCAGTACTCTTTGAATATTCGACAGGGGTGAATCCACAGATTCGCCAGATCCAAACCCGTTGTCTAGAACCGCTGGAAGAGGGTTGAGTTGTTTGCCGGTGACAAAACATGCGTATGGAGGATTTCCAAAGCTTCCTCGACTTCCTTACCACCACAGGGAGACTCACCTAACATTGTCCCCGGAGCTGATATGGGGGTTGATCAATATTCCGTTCGGCCCCCAAATGGTCATGGGTAACCTGTCCCATTTAGTGGGACATATCAGCTTTTTGGTGGTTTTCCCCAATGGTCACATGTAAAGAGCTTTTGATCAGCCCAGGGGAAACTGTGTTTGTCTCCAAATAGTTTACTCGTTGTTTCCCTTTTCCCAGCCAACCAAACACATCCCCCCTGAAGCACCCGCACACATATGTGGCTGAAAATTAAAGAGCTGGGGTTAGGCAGGTGTTGGTCTTTGTCTCCAAGGGGCCAAAATATGGCTGTGGGTCAAAACCAATGATACCATTTTGGGGTAGCACCACCCATTTTAGAACCTATTTCAGTGGGGATTGGGATGTTCGCTACGAGATTTTGACCCATGGCCAGAGTACCCCTTTGAGCCACAGGGGATTTTCCGGAGTTCCTCGGCTCTGGCGCTGTGCGTTTCGGCTCAGAGGGAAAGGCGACAAGTTTTGGGAGCCACTCGGGCGCGGTGCCTTCAGTCCGGGGGCCCGAAGCTGAAGGATGAGCGAGGCATAGCCACGCACATCGGTGAGGCTTGAACTAGGGCAACAGACCAAAGGCTGGGTTTCCTGTTGGCTGTCTAAAAAAGGTTGCCTGATTTTGAAAAGCGTGTATCTAGATAAGCAGATACGAAAAGGTTGTTTGGGGAATGCTCCCTGGCCCAGAACCCCAGTAGAACCAGGTCAGGAATGCACGCCTCGATACCTTGGGAAGTAAACGGACAAGGGCAAAGTGGCCTCGATGGCATGGGTGAGATAGCTTCAGCCATCGATTTAAATCCGTTGACCAGGGGGAGAGACCCTCGCAGAGGTGGGCGTTTTGGCTTGAAAGTGAAACCACAAGCTGAACCACCCATTCCAGGACCCCAAGTTGAGGTCGGGTGTGGGGTCTCTACTTGCAGAGCAGAGAGCCCTTTGGGTCGTTCCCAGCTGCTCTTGGTGTCAAGGAAGTCGGGCCCTAGGGTGTGATCCCCATTGGCAAGTCAGCTCACGTGTGCTTGGTTTACTGGCAATCAGGCTGAGCATGGTCTCAGCCATCTGTCGTGACCAGCGCGGTATTTCTGGGTCTCCTCTGGTAGGTATCTCAGTTGTCCAAGGTGAGTCAGCCTTCAGCTTTGGATTCAGCCCAGTGCAAGAAGGCACCCCCTTGTGCGTTGATGCGCGCACCTGTTGCCTTCTTCGAAGTTCATTTCAGAATTTCGATGATACGGCGCGCGGCGAGGTCCTGGTTGGCCAGATTTATCCAAGGTTTGCCTTTTGCCAAGGGAGGAGTGCCCAAAACTACCCAGTTTCAACGAGGAAAACAATGAGGAAAACGTTTTTCTTGAAACACGTTGTTCACGAATCTGGTTCAATCCGCGCATCCCTGTTCTTTTCGCGCCGGCTCAGTTGGAAAAAAAAGATATAAAGCTGCTGAGGGATGGCGAAGCACCACCCGGATCTGATCATGTGCCGGAAGCAATGCGGCATTGCCATCGGCTGGGGGCCCTGGTGGCGGTCCCTGAACTCATTCACTCAGATTGGTCGGACTCATTTGGCCCTCAAAACCGTTTTGGGATCCCAGTTTGGTTGGGATTGGTGAATTCACCACGCATGTTAGGTTACCTATTTTGGTGGGGATTGGTTGATGTTCGCTGGGGGTACGGGATTTGGACCCATGGCCATTTGTTTGCTGCCAGCAGCCAGATTCCAAGCTGGAAGGGGGTCAACTTCATGAAATTAGACTCACCGCAAGACGACGTCTCACTGTCCAGCCAAAAAGCGGGGGGTGACTTACAGGAGCGACACGCTTCGCTTGGCGCACTTGCGTTCAATTCGTGAAAGCCACGTGAGGAGAGCTATGCCCTGTTGATGGGACCATGCGCCAACCGGTGGAACTCCATTTGCTGGATGTTGGGTTTGAAGAGGCCATTCCAATTTGGTTCTCAAAGAGAGTCCAGAGCAAAAATAGGGAAACTTCTGTCCGGTTTTGACGGATTGGATAGAAAAGTCCATCCGCTCAGATCGCTCAGGCCGTTTGTGCGAGAAGTGCGACGGGAAGTGCGTGATTTGCGATTCCTACGCCGGGAGCCCAGTCAGCCAGCAGCTCAAGCGCCACTGGACAAAACTTTGGACATGCCCTCCCTTGGCCTAAGCAAGGCGACTTCCGCGAGAATCAGTGAACCATTTGTTGATCACAAGTGTCTCGCTCTGTGTGTGTGGCTGTGGCTGTTTTCAATGTAAGAAGGATGCTTTAACCCAGCCGCCTGCCTGCCCGCCTAGCCACCCACTACCTACCCCAACCCAGAGGGTCCAAGTACCTCCTGAGGATGGCTTTTGGGGGGTAAAAATGGGTCTAAGTACCTCCTTAGAAGGTACTTGGACCCTCTGGGGCAAGTACCAACAAGTTGGAGGCATTCCCGTTTGGCATGTTGCAAGGCAGCTCTGCGCTGCCAAGGTGCGGCCGAGCCAGCTTGCACGAGTCTGCGACGAGTGCAACTACGGTGCGCACCCGCGGGTTGCTGTTTTACATTCAACGTGCGGCAAACACACTCCCCGAGTTCGTTTTTGTTTTGGGGGGGGGAACGGCATGTTAATGGGAAGCAACATATTGCCCAACATGTTGGAGGTGATTTTGGCCAATCCGACCAGGAAGTGAGCAAGGGGCTGCCAGACGTGCAACTTGATGTCCGGAGCTTGTGCTCAGCCAAAGCGAACGGGTCGAGCTTCTGGTTTCCAGATTAGGCCCTTTCCAGGCAATCCTGAGCATCCGGACGCCTCCGATCCAAATGTCCAGCTTATGCCTGGTAGGTGGCCAGGCTGAGTTCCGGTGACTTGGTAGTCATTTCTCTGGCGTCAACGGGTACAGGTGTGCGAGAGCCCATCCACGGAGCCATGTTCTGGTGCACCTTTCGGAGTGCAACAAGTATGGTGGTGCTTCAATGTGGTTCATGAATGAGAATCATGACTTGCTCCAAGGCCTCTTGGACAAAACAGGCGAACAACTCGAACAGGTCAGGCTGGTTCTTGTAAAGAGGCTGAACAATCATGAGAGGCGCTTGCTCTGATAGATGATAGCCTTTCCCGTTTGTAGTGCCATGTTATGTTTGTTTGCTAGTCAGAGGTCATGAGTTGTTGGGCCAGATAAAGTTTGGTTTTGGTTCACAAGTCTCCCATTTACTTTATGCGCCTCCAGCAAACCCTGCAAGTCATCCACTTTCCGGCATTCCAGCGACAGGTAGCTACCAGGGACGGTGCGTTATTTGCGGTGGAGCCGGCATCTCCGACGCTTTCTACTGCAAGGAGAGCGCGAATGCTCAAGCGTTGCCCATTGCGACAAGTGATTGATCTTGGAATGTTGAACATGTGAGCGGTGTGTTTAAACGTTGCACTATGAAGGTGGCAAGGAACATTGGGAAGCTGGGCTGTTTGGCAGGCCACCAGGCCGTCTATGGCAACTAAAGTACGTGGATCGCTAAAACTTGCAATGCAATCTGTAGGAAGGCCCTGATTCAGATTGACACGGAATGCGTCAAAACACTTGTTGCGGGGCCAACATGTTGGGCCTCAGGGCTGTGAGAAACTGTCAAGCTCCGCATTTGGACAACTGTTTTGTTCGGATGCGATCCTTGACTAGTTTATTAAAGACATGTTCCAGATGCAACATGTTTCTGAGTAGATTTTAATCACGGGTCCCAGCCTCCGAGCAAGACAATGGTTCCTTTTTATGGCTGTTGTTCTCTTAAACGTTTGCCAGCCCTTCGTTGCGCGATGTGCAGGAGTGCTGCCAGTGCGAGAAGGACCGTCACCTGCTGAGCGCGCGATGCTGCGGTGTTTTTTCACGCCTTAGACTTCCTCGCTGAGAGCAAATCGACCGTGTCAAGGGTTCCAGGAGGCTGACCTTTTGCTTTGAGGTCCTTTGGGCACTTCGTCACTGTGTTTTTTGTTCGCGAACTGTACGCAGATGACTTTTTTGAATGTGTTGCAAGCAAGACTTAACATTGACATGTTTGTGCTTTGTGTCGTGTCTGACAACTTGGTTGATGCTGTGTGACCCCTTTATTATGTATGGAGTGTCGTGTCATGTTGATGCACACGGTTCCTCTTCTCACAGTTTGCTGTGCCGAGATTCAAATCACATTTGCCCCGAGGTTGCATATGGTAGTTAGGCTTTGTTGCACTGCCATTCGGTGGTTCATGGTTGACTACTGCCATGTTTGTGCGGCACAAGCAGGTCCGTTGGTAACAGCCACCTTGGTCACCGCAGGAACGGATTGAATTGACTTTTCCACTTACTTTGAACGAGCCCTAAGACATGCTTATGTGGCAAGGGCATTCTTCTTGCCAGGGTTTCTTCTTGACATACTTCCAAAAATGGATGTTTGCCGGGGTCTGAACACCAAGCTGTTTGGTGCAGCTGAGGCGCGCGCCAAGCAATCCAGGAGTTGGTGCAGCCAAAACTCATTCAGCGTCAACATGTGCCAACCGCACTCGCGGCCGAACAAATTCTGCTACAAAAACCCTGGCGGGCAATGACACGCGTTGAGCCACGCGTTGAGTATGTCGAATGCGGTTTGGCGCGCGCCTTCGCCAGGACCGCGACGGTTGTCCCAAGATTGTGAATCTTGGCACTGCAAGAACAGACCTCTTCTACGAGAGGAAAAAGCCGGGGGCCTAGATGTCACTCTGCGGCTGCGGAAAGGAAAGTTGATGTGTGGTGATTTTCTCCGGGCATGCTACAGTAGCAATGCTGATCCAGACGGGTCCACGATTGGTGTTCGCTGCCAGTGTGGCCTTCGAGTCATGTGCGGCACCCCTCATGCACGAGTGCAGGTGTGTGTTTGCTCCGAGGTATGGCTTCAAATCACGCTGACCTCTGAAAGCCGGTAGCGATACAGGGAAAGGGCAGCGAATCATGCAGGCATGTGGCACATGTGCTGAAATGTGTGACTTGGTGCAGACAGCAGCCTGCATGATCTAATGTCGCCGGTCGCTGCATTGCGGACAGTGCAGCGACCGTAACAAACGCCTGCCGTGGCCGTTTCGCAAAAGTGCCGCTGTGGGAGGTGCATATTATGGTTAGCCAGCCCTACAGCTGCCAGATTTATAAGCGTGTTTACTTGGATATTACGAGATACAGTTGTCGACACCTTTCTTTTTCCAAAGGGTTTGGTTCTTGGTTTGCTGCCCGTTGAAATTCGAAAGCATCCAAGGCAAGTCATTTTCAAATCCATGATAGATGTTGGACATGGGCTCATAGCCAGTTGACAAAAGATGTAGCTCTGCAACTTGTTGCAGCTTTGTGCGTGTTAACATAGCTCCTTTTGTTGGGCCCGCTCTCGGTGACATGATGCTTTGACTTCAAGGTGGTCCGCAAAGAGAGTCGCTATGTTGTCATCGGGAGAGCTGAGTTTGCCTGAAGATGTCAACATGTCGCTGTTCAGCGCCAGGGGGAGATGGTGTTTTGTTTGGACGAGCTTTTGCTCAGGTCATGGAGTATCCGATTGAAAGCCAGTGTGGTCCCCCGAAAGTGTTGGTTTGCTGGAGATAGTCCCAACTTGTCCCTAAGAAGGGGCCAAAAAGACCCGCTGGATTTTTTGCTAGACCAAGAAGGCACGTGTCAATTCCCTCCAAGGAGCATCCAACTGCGGAATTTTCTTACGCTCAGCCTTCAATTGCCCCCGCTCTTCTGGCAGCGATCTCCCGGAAACACGATGTCATAGACGCTTTGTTTTTGTAGGTGCGACCGGGAATATCCTCAATGCCTGTCATGTAGATCTGCCAGCGCGATTTGTCCACGCCTCAAATGGCTGTTTTGTAGCAACCTTGCTTGGAAGCAAACCAACCACACCCGACCACAGGACCACGGTAACTGACAGTAGTTAAGCTTCGGTTTGTTTCTGAATATGTTTCATGTGTCTCTCTATCACTATGGGAAACTTTAGAGCCTCCGGCTCAGTCCGCCGACATTGCTCGGCGTGTCGGACACCTAAGAGAGGATAGAGGATAACCCCCCCCCCTAACCCCCCCCCCCACCCGACGTCTGATACGTTGGGGGGGGGGGGCCCCCCCCCCCCAAGGACCGCGCGGCAATTTGATGACGTTCCACTAAACGTAGTCTTCGGGGACCCGGTGTCGCAAAACAGGGGTCCCAGGCTCGATTCCCCCTGCCGGCTTTTTTGCTGGCTTGGGCTTCCTGCATCCTTTTGCCGAAAATCTGGAAAAACTCTGTGTTTTTGGACATCATCTTTGCGAAAACGCTGGAAAAACAGTGTTTTTTGCGGGAAATACTGGGGAGCAAAGGGGAAGTGCAAGGATACATACATACATACATACATACATACATACATACATACATTACATTACATACATTACATTACATTACATTACATTACATACATTACATTACATTACATTACATTACATTACATTACATTACATTACATTACATTACATTACATTACATTACATTACATTACATTACATTACATTACATTACATTACATTACATTACATTACATTACATTACATTACATTACATTACATTACATTACATTACATTACATTACATTACATTACATTACATTACATTACATTACATTACATTACATTACATTACATTACATTACATTACATTACATTACATTACATTACATTACATTACATTACATTACATTACATTACATTACATTACATTACACATTACATTACATTACATTACATTACATTACACACATGCATACATGCAATACATACATGCATGCATGCATTACATACATACATACTACCTACCTACCTTACATACATACATACATACATACATACATACATACATACATACATTACATTACATTACATTACATACATACATACATACATACATACATACATACATACATACATACATACATACATACATACATACATACATACATACATACATACATACATACATACATACATACATACATACATACATACATACATACATACATACATACATACATACATACATACATACATACATACATACATACATACATACATACATACATACATACATACATACATACATACATACATACATACATACGAGAGAGGGAGATTGGGGAGAGAGTGGCTTGGGGGGATGGGGAGGATGGGGAGCGGAGGGAGGGAGAGAGGACGACAGAACACACCAGGGAGACAAGGGAGAGAGGAAGAAGGAGAAAAGGGAGAGGACAATGTCCCCCCCCACGTATCAGACGTCGGGTGGGGGGGGGGGGTTAGGGGGGGGGGGGGTTATCCTCTATCCTCTCTTAGGTGTCCGACACGCCGAGCAATGTCGGCGGACATGTGTTTGTTCATTTTCCAGGACTTCAGCAAATGAAAGTAAATCAGGGCATAGGCGTCCTTTTTGATGGTTTTGGTTGAAAACTAGATGGCGCTTCCTGGTGTACCTGGTGGTTTCATCATCTACCAGGGAAACCCATCTATTTGCCCTAAAAGACACCTATGCCCGCGGGGGTTTCCAATGCTAGGTCCCAGCTAGGTGCCCTTTGACCTTGGGAGGGTTCCCCATCTATTTGACCCAAAAGGACACCTAGGAATCAGCGGTGGTGCCCGTCTTCCACTGCCGACTCCTTCGCAGGAAGGACCCGGCGAAGTCCAACGCTGCCCAGACGCAGGCCATCCAATCTTCGACGCAACGGGCGGGTGGTGGTGACGTGTCGAGGATGCCCTGAAGTGTTACGCTGGGTCCCTCAGTAGTGCCCTTTTGCTCGTTTTTCGGGGGGAGGGTTCCCCTACTAAAGAGACTACAGGAAAAAGGAGTACCCGTATTCTAAACTCTCTACTGGAGGAGCTAGTACTTGGAACAAGTTCCAGACCTTGTCATCTCAAATGAAGCCCAGAGCTTGGAACATGTTTCCCCGTTTCGTGCAGCAGGCCTTTGTACTTGGCATTGGAGGCTTCCGGAAGCTCCCTCGGTTTGATCTGCGAGCATTCGAATGAGTCAGGTCATTGGTTGCTTCCCTGTTGGTTAATTTCTGGGGTAGACTTAGGATACATTCTACATTCAATTTGACCAGTGACTCAAAGTGAAACAAACTATAAACATATACATTCTATCACTGGGCCAAACTCTAATCATGGTTTATTGTTCATTGGCTGGAATGAATCTGCGCTTTGGAACTCATGGCTGGCAAATTTGTTTGTTTGTTGGCGGGAATCCTGGGGCACGTGAATGGGAGTGATGTCTCTTGGCTTACGGGAAAATACACAAGCAGCATTGTTGGGCCACGAGGTAGCTGATCGGAAAGTGAAGGTGTATACTTGCAGATTGGTTCAATGACTGCCAGCAACAGGATTCAGTCCCATTTGGGTGTGGCTCAAAATTACACAGGAGGGGTTACGCAGGTTTTGGTCCATGTTTCCACTTGCCAGGGTTCCGTTTTGGAATTCCGGTTTTTGAGCCACAGCCATTTGTGTCGCTCATCAGTCCATTCCAACACCAGCCAATGGGACCGATCCGTGCCTGCGCCTTCTTGAGAAGAGACCTCTGGCAAGCGAATTGGGACGCAGCGAAGATGGGGCTCGGCCATGAAGCCTTGGCCACTGGGTCCAGTGCTGCCCTTTCTCACCGTTTCTTTTTTTGGGGTTCCCCTACTAAAATAGACTACAGCAAAAGGTTGGTACCAACTTATTCTAACCTCTCCACTGGACCTAGTGAAGCCCTGGCCAAGTTGAGCGATCGGCCTAGTGGGACTTCAGCTTTGCTAGGGCTTCTGGTTGATTCAGGGCCTGCATGTCAAAAGTTTCGGGAAATCGACGCCGGATGCAAAACCAAGGATGCTCAAACCAGTTCAAGTTGCAGCCGTGTTCCTGTCTGATGGCTCCACTTGAGCCACAATTCAATAAACCAGGTAGATGAAGGATGATGGTTAGTAAGGGATAGTCCCAGCCATCAATGGGTGCAGCCGCCTTTTCAACTCTGGGCATGGTTCTTGGTAAGCCGTTTTAATTACCGTTCGGTTTTGCATGACTCCACTTCCCACTGCGAATCACGACCGTCGAGTCACTGGCTCTCGATCTTGTCAGGCAAGGGCACAGACGAAGGCCGGATGTGATGGTCCGGATGGGCTGGGTGGCCTATGGACCCATAGAAACCCCACACACAATTTTAGGTCACCTATTTTTAGTGGTTGGATTGGTTGATGTTCACTGGTACGATTTGAGTTTTGACCCATGGCCATATATTCTCTCGTTGCCCATGGCTGAAACAGTTGGAAGCCTTGCCGCTGCTTTCTTGCTCAGCGAGAAAACGCTTCTGGGCACAGCATGTTTTGGATGGAGCCTTGTACTGATTCCCTGCTGGCTGCAAAACATGTATCAAAACTGATCATCGGCTTGGAAACGGAACTTACCAGTATTACCATTGAATATGGCCGGAGCAGCCATATATGTTTGCTTAGTTATTTGACGGTAGAAGCCGCGCTGAGGCCAGCGTGTCCGGCCCCGAGGTTCCAACTTGTGAAAGGCTCCCTGTCTTGGTAGTTTCATGCATCACCTGGTGGCCAACAGTGTTTTCATGTTGGGATATCTGACCAAGCTACCTTTCATTGAATCATCCAGGTGGTTTTTTGTGCGGCTGAACCCCAACCTGATGACGGATGAGTCTCCCCGTCTCGGAGTGCTCGGAGCCAGGCCTTGAACCCTGATCAGCAGAAAGCCTTCCTCGAGCAGCAGACCCTCGGCGAGAGAAGCCGCCGGCGCTTTTTCCACCGTGGCCGGAGAAGACGCGGCTGAAGAAATACCAGACAGGTCCTGAACCATCACTGGGTCTCAGCAATTACTCGTCCGACCAACATGTCTTTGTGATGATCTGATGGCTTCAGTTGGTTTTTGCAGTACCCCACAATCCCAATGGGATTCTTATAGTTCTTGAAGCATGGTTGGGGGGTGACCCAGCCATACATGCCGTTGTATGGCCTTTTTGTTGCCATGGGTTTTGAATGGACCCGGTCAGTACCAGGTCTTGATTGACTCATATTTGTGGTTCACTTGGGGGTGGCAGCGTTCCAATGGAAGCAAAAGGAGTTTGACCAACAGCACCATACCATGTGTTGCTTGGGATTTTTCATGATAGCAGCACGTGTTTGGCATTTGTTTCGCTCAGTTGGCTTGACCTGTCTAGTTGAGTTGTTCAGGTGTGCGAAACAGAATGACCGAGATTTGTGTTTGAGCAATCAGAAGGATGTACCTCTTCCCCCCTCCCCTCCCCCCCCCAAAAGAAAAAGTCCACAACCCCTTGATATCCAAGCCATAACTTGTAGCCCCATGAGAGGTCTTTCACCCTCCCTTGACTGCTATTGGGTTGGATCTTTAGACTTCAACTTTTTGGGAAATCAAGGGGTTTTCCACGAAACCCCCAAAAGTTGTCAACTTTTGCAGGGGGGTCAGCAGCAACCAAGCTCCGGGTGAGATCGATCTCAGGATGAGGCAGCTGCAGCAGAAGCAAGCCATGCAGGAAGTGCCGAAAGGGCGAACGAGGCAAACAGCTCACCCAATCTTGGAGGTGCAAAACGAGGGAACACCCAGAAGGGTCCAATTGCATCCCTTAAGTTCAGGTTTTGAATTTGTGGACATTGCGGCCAGTTGGACTTTTCTTAGCTTCGCATCCAGGAAAGCGGAAGTTCGGTGGATTCTGCATGTTGGAAGGGGCCATGCGGTACCACAATTCCCTGGGCCCTTTGGGAGCCAGCCCTTCAGCCTCAGACTCGTGTTGAGTCATGTCCCGGCATATGGGGGTATTTTTGGAGCTTCGCCCTGGTTGGGTTGCATGCGTGGAAAAAAATATCTTTTTGGGGGGGGCACCCATATTTTGTTCACCCCTAGCATGGCCGTGTCAAAGATCGGTCATCCTCTGCTTTAAACCAGTAAACCAAAAAGCTATACACCCAGGTCCCTGATTCACGCGATGTTGGTTGAAAGACTGCAATGCGCGCCAAGAGTGGTTTCACCTTGGTGTCCATTCCGAACCGACAGGATCCAACAAGGTGTAATCGCACCCTTTCGCCAGCCCAAGAAATGGCTGCCAAAAGAAGAGAAAAAAGACCACCCCCCTTAAAGAAGGTGAATACGGGAAGGGGGGTGACCCCTGAAATTCCATTTATGGTTGCATTTGTCCTTTTCTGGGGACTAGACAAATGCAATTGGGGGAAGCCCCCCTCCCTCCTCCTTAAGGTAAGGGGGATGAGGTCCCATCTCGGGGAAGCACATATTATCATGAGAATGCGATAATCTTTCCACGAAACGCCGATAGGGGCTCACCCAAATCCGATCTCCCAGTAGTTCTGTTAGTTGCTCTAATATGTGAGGTCTTGGAAGGACTTCGACAATCTGGGAGGGTAAGCGGTTAGCAAACCCTCTTGTTGGGTGTTTTCCAGGCGTTAGCTCTGGCGGTTGCTAACCACTTGGCTAATTTCTGGGCCATGCAAATGGAATATCACGGACCTCCAAGGGAAAGGGGTTGGGAGTTCCGTGAATCAGGCCTGATCAAGGACATTTCCTTGGCTCATGCTTGGCTTGTTTCCCTGCACCCTAGCCCCCTGGATCCCCCTCCCTTCCATGCAAGTGGAGAATTTCGACCAGGCCTCACCTTTCAAAGTCCCGGCGAGTTTTCTTTGGCGCGGACGCAGGAGCTGCAGACCAAGAAGGAGCAGGTGCTGAAGGCGCGCACTGGAAGCTCTGGAAGGGTCACGGGTCTGGATCGCCCTCGGCGCGGCAGTTTCCTCAACAGGACCCAGAGTTGGGCGACTGCAATCGACGTTTCTACGGGCTCACTTCTGTTTGGTTCGAGACCCTCGAAACACAAGACGGAAAGGCGAAGAGGTGTTTTTTTTTTTTTTGGCGCAGATCCTCGATTTAAAACCCGGAAAGCGAGGTCGGTTAGAATCCATGGAGGGGAACAGGCTTATCTGGGATGAGTCTAGGTACATTCGCTGGCAGGGGTTTCAACCTCATATTAAGCGACTTTGCTCGATTTATCCTTGCGTGTATGTATTAGCTTGTCGCGGCTGGTTCTTTTAAGCTAACTAGTGATTCCTTTCATAGAAATTCCTCGGATCAGATTCATCTGATGTGGGAAATGGCTCTGTTAGATCTATGCAGCTGCGGTGTTGTGTTTGGGCCCGCCGCGCACAACCCCTTTTTGACTTGCCCTGAAACCTGGCAAGGGCTTCTAGGGCCTAGCCCATTTGAAGCTGCGGGCTGAGTAGCGTAGCACGGCACCCCGCAACAGAGCGCGCACGTCATTGATGTTTGCAAAGCGTTGGTGCGCAGTGCAATCATGATGTATCGAGTCTAGTATGTTACTTGGTGGCTCCCAGTCATTCCCTGATCTTTTCAGGTTTTAGTGTTTGGTGGTCTTTTCCATTGACTCCACTAAAGGTTATGCTTTTAGCAGGGCATTTGAGGGCAGCCCAGTTAATAGGAGTTCAAACGGAAACTTGTGTATCCCTAAAGGCTCACACCCACGTCAAACAAATAAGAAACTGCTATCATTTGAAAGGGTCTCAGTCAACTTTGACGCTTTTCCAGGCACAGCATTAGTATCGGACCTTGCGCAAGCGGTCGGTTGAGGATCTCCAGATACGGGAGACCATGCTGGAGCACTTTAGACATCAGGCTTGCGGCAGAGACGAGCAAGAGAGAGAGAGAGAGAGAGAGAGAGAGAGAGAGAGAGAGAGAGAGAGAGAGAAAGAGAGAGAGAGAGAGAGAGAGAGAGAGACAGAGAGAGCTGGCAAGGATTGGTGTGTCTCCTCATGCGTGTGTCTTGTATGACAGCGTCCATGTCTTTATTTGTGTGCGTAAGTAAGTGTCTAGTCGCCAAGGTGGCCGTGTCTGAACGAGCTGATTGTTCAGTCACAGCCACAGCTTGGTGAGTTGCAAGGCTCGTGCCTTTCTGAGCTTGAATTTCAGCGGTGATTGGGTGGAAGGGTTTGTCTTTCCCTGCCCCCACTGGGCCTTGATCCTGTCCCCATCCCGCCATCGTCTGCCATCGTCTTTTGGCCCTCCAATTGCTGCACACCGTCGATCACCGAGAAAAAAATCCCTGGCAGTCCGCTTTTTCCTCCAAAATCGCCTTCCGGGTTCCCAGACCGGCGGTATATCAAAGAAAGAGTGCCCTTTTGGGTCCACGGCCATTCGGGTTTCTGGCCACATAGGACGCCCTGGGCGCGCTCTCAGCGAGCGAGAAGGCCACACTGGTGGAGCCCGGGCCTCGGCACGCGGTGGCGCGAGCTGGATGGGGTGATCCCTGGGTACTGTGGAAGGGGGGGGGGGCGCGTTAAAGGGATGTATAAAACCCTGGAGGTCGAAGCCCTACCCCTATCCCCGGATTTATTAGACCCTGCCTTGATGAATTGGGGGGGGGGTCGCCCTCTTGAGTGGGGAATCATCACTTTTCAACGGGACCTATAATAGGGTCCTGCGGGTTGACTAACTCGGGGTCAACATGATGGGTGTGTCTCATCAACGGGACACCACCAACGTTACCCGATTTTTTGGTTCCTCTATGTTGATATATCCAACATGTCCAGTCTATATAGGGTCCGTGTGGGATCCGCGGACGAACCTAAACCAACCCTAATCCAGCCAAGTTCAGTGCCACACCCCAAACAGGGGCAGGGGAGGGGCTACAGACCTGGACCTGATCGACCATTTTTTTGTTTATAATAATAATACTAATAATAATACTAATAATAATAATGTTGTAATAATAATTTTATGTATATTGTATATATACAAATACATATGTATATTATATACATATATATATACATACACATGGGTGTGTCTGAACAGAGCTGGCTGTCTTCTTTGTGGTGTCTCTTTAAAAACCACTCCAAAGGGCCCAAAGGGGTCTCCAAAAAGGACCCTTGCATTTTTTATCTGAGTCTGGCATACCTGTGTCTCCATTGACAGCCACTCCCCGCTCGAGTCAACCGGAGGCTCCAGAAGGACGAGCAGCGCTTGCTGGGGCAGCGGGCAGCCTTGGAGCCCGGACGCCCAATCGGCAGAAGGGCAAAGTGCCAAGCGGCGAAGATCCGGAAACACGCAACACCGAAGCGCTACCAAAAGCTTAGTGGCAATAGAACTACATGGTTTAACATATAACCGTGTTATAGCCTTATATATATATATATATATGTTCCCGTCGCCCGTTGTCCCCCCCCATGGTATGGGTCCATCCAGGGGAGGGGGGTGGGGTGGGAACCATGGACCCCCCCACCCATCCCACAGAGGGGCGGGGGGCTTGTACGGTCGCACTGTGCTGCCTCCTTGACTGAGCATGACCGGCGGGGGGGAACCATGAGCCATGTCATTTTTATGAGGCCGCGCATGCGGGGGGTTTCAGCATGGATTGGGTCGGGGACTCATTTGTAACACGGATCGGCGGCAACCATGAGCGCCGAAAAGGGACCTCTCCGGATCGATCTTCCGGGAGTTGGACAGAGCAAATTCTGGTGGGTGATTTAGCCCGGGCATGCTACATGCTATTGGGGTTTTGCACTTCAGGAGGTTTTCGAGCGATAGAAACAATCCGGGTTTCCAGCTTCCTGTGCGCTGAGGCAGCAGCAAATTGAAGTGGCCCAGGGTCTTCTGCCAGAGCCGCCGCAGCATCAGGTGCATCAGGTGCATCAAGTGCAGCAGCAGCAGCAGGTACAGCAGCATCAAGTGCACCAGCAGCTACAACAGCATGCGCAGGCACACCAGGCGCATTCGGCGCATTCTCCGGAGGCGGCTAGCCTGGGCTCGCAAGACTTGCAGGCATACCAGATGATGCAGCAACAGGCGTACCTGCAGCAGATGCAGGCCCAGCTGCAGCAGTACCCTCACCTACAGCAAGCACAGATACAACAGGCGCAGATGCAGCAGATGCAGCTGCAGGCGCAAATGCAGCAGCAGGCGCAAATGCAGCAGCAGGCGCAGATGCAGCAGCAGCAGCAGCAGCAGCAGCAGCAGCAGCAGCAGCAGCAGCAGCAGCAGGCGCAGCTGCAGCAGCAAGCGCAGTTGCAGCAGCAGGCACAGTTGCAGCAGATGCAAATGCAGCAGGCCCAAATGCAGCAGTACCCGCATGCACATCAGCAGGCAGAAGTGCAGCAATATTCGCAGTTGCATCAACAGCAGCAGCAGCAGCAGCAGCAGCAGCAGCAGCAGCAGCAGCAGGAGCAACAGCCACAACAGCAGCAGCAATACGCAAACATGTACCAGCAACAGCAATACCCCCAGGACTACTCTCAGCAGCAATACCATCATGGGCAACAGCATCAGCAGCAGCAGCGGCAGCAACATGCGCACGGGCATCATCAATTGCATCCTCAAGAAGCGCAGGGCAATGAGCATGCCATGCAAGCACAGAGGCAGCTGCAAGCAATGCAGCGTGACGGGACACCAGAGATTGCGCAAATGGATGACCAGTCACGTTTGATGCAACAATTGCAGCAGCAGTTGATGCAAGAGCAATCTTCCCAGGTGCGCCCTGAGTTTGCGCGCCAGACGGACGGGCCGGGTTCCTGAAAGTCACATTAGGCCACATGTTGGCATTTTGATCAGATCGCCACGTTGCTGGCTGTCAGATGCAAAAATGGTTTGGGATGGCACCCTTTTCAGTTGGAAGGCTTTTGATTAGGCTTTCTGGCGTAATTATTCCTGGCCATGGGCATGCAGATATTGGCAGCTTTTGCCGATGGTGTAGCCTTTTTTCGGTTTCTCGGGGGGTGGTGCGGACACGCGGTTTTTAAGACGGAAACCCCGGAAAAGCATTGAACTGCATGGTTTAGCACGCACATATCCGCAACAAACAGTTTGCAACATCGACTCGTGCCCACACGGCAGGAACTTCCGGGAAAGCGGGCCCTTCTGGGAAACGGGCCACGGGTCAAGGGAGGCGAGCTGTTCCGCGACTCCTGGCGGGGGTCCTGTTCATTTCCGCTGGCACGTGGTTTTTTTTTGAATATTGATCCTTGGGATGCTTCCATCCAGGTTTGTGAAGAAGGCACACACGCGCAAACCGCAGCTTATGTGCTTCACATCCAAGGGCAAGGGATTTGGCGGCACGGAGTTTGCTCGTATGAGGTCGTCAACTTCAGTTGAGAGGGTTTGCTCAAGGCCCAGATTGGCATAGGATGGAATGGGGCGACGCTTTAGTTGGACGTTTCCGGGCAAATCCCCGAAATTAATTGGGGGCAAGCAAGTGAGAATTTCGGGTACAGTAGGGGCTGGGTTATTCTGGGCGTGGATGGCTATTGATGTCCAATTGGATCTCGAATAGTGGAGCTGTTTCTTCCTTCGGTTCGGAATGAAATTCAGGCTACGGGGTCGAAATCCCAGTGTTTGTTACTTTCCCGATTGACATGGAAGGCGAAAGTCGGGTGCAAGAGGAGATTCCAAAGCAGTGTCAAAGTCGACACTTCTGGGCCAGTGGATTGACCCCGTTTATCAGCCCTAGTCTAATATGGGTTCTTGTATTTTTGTAAATGGGGAACAAGAGATACCCGGAAGCTTACCATGTTGCTCGGTCCGTTGGCTTGCAATATTTGGAGCTGTAGCACTGTACCTTCCTCAACTCACCAGTTCCATGCCCCTGCAAGCCAAAGCCTTTCCTTATGACTTACGGACCTTCTGACCGACCCTGACCTTTCAGTTTCTCACTCCTTGAGTTCATGGCAGCCTTTAGTCACTTGTTGGGCTTGGACCATCATTTTGGTGGTGAACAACAAGTTCGGTTACTTGTTTGGCCCATCCGCTGTTGCCGACCTTCGGTTCATTCACCTGCAGTCTCCTTCTGACCCTTAAACAATGGGGGGTCATGACCCAAAAGGAAGGGGTCACCCCACTTTTTACAGGGTCAGAAGGAGACTGCAGGTCCCCCCCCCCACCCCACCCGCCCCGACCACCCCCTCCACCCCCCCCCCCCTCCACCCCGAACCCAAGAAATCCAAACCTCGGCCTGGGGCCAGCTGGCGTGCGCCAGGGTTCGGCTCAGCCGAAGCCCTCGCCTCGGAGCGCTGAGCGGAAATCTGTTTCCCGGGCGAGGAGAAAACACCCCACTGGCCGGCTGAGAAGTTTGCTGAATGGAAGATATGGTTCATTTTTCTGAAAAGGTTGCTGAAAGGAAGATGTGTTTGTTGCCTTTTCCCTGGGTTAGACGGGAGCCGATTTTTCACTACCGGGAATGTTTATTACTTTTGTCCGGCGCAGGAAGCAAATAGAAGCCAGGGCGCTCGAAAAGACTCGGTGAGGAGTTGCTCTTTGAGAAGGGCCTTTGTTGGTATCAAAGACACGATGGTTTTCTTAACCTGACTAGATATGAATGAAACGGAAACATGGAATATGCAACAGTTGACAAGCATGTGCATGTTTGGTTGTTTTTGTGAAGAAGCGCTGGGGATAGTGAATATGTTGATGAGTAACATTTATTGGAGATCTAGTAGATTGAGATGTTTCTCAGTCCTTTGACGTCACCAGTTGTCAATGTCTGTAAAGTTGAGATGCTTGCCTAAGGCGCTCAGCTGCTTTACTGCTGGCGCTTGCCCTTTTAGACCTTAGTGTTGGCCTCATGATTATGGCTCTTCACCGCCAGGTCGCCAGAAAAGCATGAGTCGTTTTGTATGGTTCCTTGCCTGCGGCGAGTAGTTCTTATCAGGAAAGCAAACAGACTGCTGGCGAAAGGCGGGATCACTTACCGGCCACAGTAATCCGCCCCTAGCAGGAAAAAGGCTTCTTTGTTTGCCCAACATGAGCACTTTCAGATTGAGCAGTTGGTTGTTCAGGCGATTGTCTTGACATAACATGAGACTTTGTGAAGCTTTAACTTTCTAAGTCAGCGTTTGGCGGTCCAGGTTTGTGTTGTTTTCTTGCTGCCGTGGCAATTCCTTGTTTTGGTTTGTGCTTCTTCCGACTGTCCGCTTGTCTATCAGTCGTAACAGTGTCTTGGTCAAAGACAACTACATGCTTGGGACCAATTGCGGATAACTCTTTACCCAGGACTTGAGAAACCATGCCGCATTATGCCGCGATGCGGATGTGATCTTCATGGCAGGCCCCCAAACAAATGAGGAGTTCCCGTGGCACGGATGGCGTGGCGCGAATTATCACTCGTAGCGGTGGCGGCCCGCCGGAGAAAAAAAGAGAAAAAACACGACCTGGTCAAAGGTGTGCCCATGCATTCCAGATCCCAAAAAAATGAGGAGGGGGTGCCTTTGAACTTCATTGAGAGGGAAACAAATAGCAAGCCAACTATTTGTTGGATTCCCTAGGACGCACCCAGTTGACTGGGAGTATATGTATATACACTTGAACATGCCAGGGCCGCAGCTGGTTGCCCCTTCCTCCACTAACAGGTTCCTTTGAGGTTCCATGGTGATCTTCATGATACTAGATGCGGTTGACTTTTTGGCGCCTAATTTTACAATGACTATGGGCAAATTGCAGCGACCTTACCTACCGGGTGTTTGCGACCACCATCGATGCCTCCCCACTTGGAGAGTCCTTATTTCTGTTATGCAAATTACGGCAATGCGCCTAACGTCTGAGGAATCAGTTCAACCGAAAGTCAGCCCAAGCCCTTCTTTGTTGATGGGTGCTTGGCCAGATCCACTCTGGGCCCTTTCCGAGGACGCCGCCGAAGGCTTCCGTGCCTTTGGGAGCCTGCGGCCCCAGTCCAAATCAGGAGAGTGCCGCCTATTCAAAGCGATGGCTTAAACAAGACCCCAAACTGTGTGACAAACACAAACATGTGTCGTGTTTGTGTTGTGACACCGCATCCACGTATGTTGTTGCTGTACTTGTGCAGTGCCACCACCATCCACATGGAGTTGCTTTCAGATGTGGAACAATAATGAGCAGCTAGTTTGCTAGCTATTGGGCGGTAGGTTTTATTTGTATATAATTTGGTTCGCTGATGGTTTCCATGCTCATTTTACGTGGCATTACCGGCCCTGTAGGTCAAGAAGAAGTCAGTGGAACGCGTACCAGACAAATAGAAGTGTCTAAGTCCGAAACCCTGCAAATTAACTTAAAGGCCAAACACACAGTGAGTGTTTGCCCCGTGGTTCCCTTTTGTCGTTGCTCCCCGAGCAGTGTGTGTACGCTAAGGGGTTCTTACAGTAGGAGTAAAGGGCTGGCTATGATCAGGGTGCTTGCCCTGGGCCTTTCGTTTGCGGCAGGCTCGCAGAAAAAAGTTCCCCTTGAGCTGTGTACATTTCGACTGCGCAGGCGAGCCCGCAAAGTGCGGCGAAGTGGGTGTCTTTTGAGAGTGCGCTCTCGCTGTGTTGCCACGCGACTTTCAGAAATGGCCTGGTGCAACTTCTGCGGTCTATCCGTGTCGCGGCGCGAAGTTGGGTCGGATCGCTGGCGCGTTGCGAATTTGCAACATCAAAAGTGAAACCTCTGCGGACTTTGGGTCTGTCGAGTCACTGTCGCTGGGCGCCGGCGGGCGTTTTACACGTTGAAAAGAACTCTGATATCTCTCTCTCTCTCTCTCTCTTTCTCTTGTTGCGGCGCGAATTTTGAACATCGAAAGTGAACCGTCTGCGGGCTTTATGTGGCTGGGATTGCTCTTGCTTTGGCGCGGTGCAAATTTCAATTGTCAAAGCACAGGACCTGCGAAGATTCTCTTGCAAGAGGCTGGACGGAGAGCTCTAGTATATGGAGGGGCTCTCAGAGGAAGCCTTACGCAAGTCTTGCCAAGAGATCCGATCGAAAGATCTTAATCTTATCTGGAGATTCTGCGCTCAGATCTTGCCAGGAGAGATGCTATCAAGAGTTCTCGCGCAGAGATCTTGGAAAAATCCTTCCAACTTCCTGGGCAATTAAATATTAATGTCCTTGGGACAACGGACGTTTTTTGCTTGAGAAGGGACATTTTTTGCAGCCACTACGGGGGCCCAATTTCTTGAAGTACTCGGACCAGGGCAAATTGACACCATAGACAAAGCATAGACAAACCATACACAAACCATAGACAAACAATGAACATACCATGGACATACCATGGACATACCACAGGCAAACCATTCGGGAAAACCATAGGCAAGCAAAAAACTGCTACGAAAAGTCAGGTGTGGGTCAGGGGTACTCGCTTCCGCAGAAGGTGAAACGCATCGCAAAATCAAGATATTCACATCACTCTCGTTGCTTGCGACCGAGAGGGACGGTAGACAACCCGTAGAAAGTACATTCTCTGCCATAGGAAGTACATTTTCTGCCGCATCTATTGCCGTAGAAAAGACATTATCTGCACACCCCGCTTTTGCACCATGTTGGTGTCAATTCGCGGCACGAGTCTTCAGGACTTTGTTGCTCCTTTCTGGCTTGGCAATGGTGTTTTTGTATTGCAAGCGCTTCTTCCTGAGCATGCTTGTTGGAATACTACTTTAGTATTGCAACTGAGTCTTCCTGAGCATACTTTTTGGAATGCTAATTACGTTAGTAGCCATTCAAAGGGTGTGCCAGTCAGGGCTTGAGCTAGAAAGAAACCAATTGAAAGGGGAATGCTTGTAAGCAAGTGGGCCACCAATTGAAAGGGGAATGCTTCTAAGCAAGCGGGCGGCCAATTGAAAGGGGATTTTTTACATAAGTGGGCCACCAATTTACAGGGGAATGCTTCTGAATAAAGCAACTGGCAGTTTCTTTTCTGGAGGGGGCTGGGGGCTTGCAACTAATGAATGTGGTCCCTCTAAGGAATGTCATTGTTGTGCTTCAGTGGGGTCTGTGAGGGGTACCCTTGCCATGAATGTTTTTTCATTTCCTAAATATGGTGTACTAAAGAATTTGCAGTTTCAGGGCTGGGGATGGTTTTCAAATTTCAGTGGTTTCAGCCGGCTTTGGGTTTTGTGTTTGAGCAACCAATTAAAAGGGGAATGCTTTAAAGTAAGTGTGCCACCAATTAAAAGAGGAATGCTTTTGAGTAAAGCAACTGACAGTGTATTTTCTGGAGGGGGTTGGTGGCTTGCAACTAATGTGGTTCCTCAAAGAATGCGATTGTTGTGGTTCAGTGGGTCTGTGAGGGGTACCCTTGTTTGGGCATGTTTGTGAATTTGTTTGCATCTATTACGGGGTCAACATGGATTTTGTGTGATTGGTTGGGGGCGGGGGGATTGTTTTTTTAAATTAACATTGATTTTGTTGGATATTTTTGGAATTTTAGGCAAAACAACTTTCAGTTTTTCTGGTCCCCATCAACATGGGGGCGATGCAGAATAAGGAAACCAACTTTTAGTTATTCAACAACCCTTGACTATTCGGGTGTTAACATTAGACAGTTCCCGGGCCCTGCCCCATGGCTGACGTTGGCAAGTTTCTGCAGCAGGCAGCCCTGCGCACACAGAGCACTCTCAAGCTCGGTGGGACAACGCGGCCCCTTCCAGTTACTTTCAAGTGGGATTTTCGTGAAAATCATGATCCGACCTAATTTGAGCAAAACAAAATGCATTTTTGAGGAAAATGTACTTCACCACCTCGGCCATTTTTAATGTTGTTTGGAAGTCTAGGGCAAAGATGTTTTGCTCTGGCAACAGAGCTTGCGCAGGACCTACGAGATTTATTGCCGCGAAGTCCCGTAGAGAATGCTCTCTACACATCTTGAAGAGCGAACTCGTTTTCCGTGGAAGGACGCTGAGGCAAACGAAGGAAAGGGCATGCCGGGGGCTGGCTTCCGCGGAAGGAGCCAGGATGTGGAAGCTTGAGTCATGTGCAATCAAGTTTAAGGGGAAGAAAACCAAATCGCATTGCCAAGAGATCTTATCAAGAGATCCTATCCAAAGATCCTGCAAAGATCTACCGAGATCGTGTCCAAGACTCTGCAGAAAAACGAGTAGAATTTAGAACGTTTCTCAGGGAAATCTTGTGTGGAACCTCCTTCCACAGGAGAGCTTCTTTTAGGCTTCTGTTTGAAGACCGCGTGCAAGTACAGAAGCAAAATGAGGGTTTGCGTAGCTACTTTCATGTAATCTGCGTGGATTCCTGTCTCACAATATGTTCTAATCATATGTCCATTGTTTGGCGTCGCTTGCCGGCGTAATTTTTTGAGGGCTTCCCTTAACTTAAGCATCACAAGAAATAAGCGGGTAGTTTCCCGGGTGCCTTTTTTTCATGCCCGCTAGGCTTCTGAGACAGGCTTCCATGAGGGGGCCCACAGAAGCTATCCCCCAACGCATCCCTTCAAGGCTACCTTTCGCAAAAAATATTGAAGCGTCCTCTGCAAAATGGTTTGAAGGGAATCACCTGGACAACCACCTGGGCCCAACGTTCACTTGAAATGTTCACTTTGATGGACCCAGCTGAAAACTTGCACGGTTTTGTGGAGGTAGGCGAACCTCCTGCCAACACACGTTTGTCAGAGCCCTAACTTTTGTTGCCCCAGAACAGCGCTTTCAAGTTGTGGATGGATATTGCTTGCTATGTCTGGTAACCATGCCATTGGCGCCTAGAGCAAGAATGGAATCATGGCTTGCTTGGGCTCATAGTCCATGTGATTCTTCTAAACGTGCTCTTGGCGCTGAGTCGTTTTCCGGTGCTTCCCGATGCGAAGGTCCGCGCCAAGCTGGCGCAGGCGGCGCAGGCGGCGCAGGCGCAGGCATCGCAGGCGTCGCAGGCGCAGGGCGGTTTAGACAGGCACGCGTGGGAGGCGATCAGGCGAAAGTTGAGCTGCTCTGGTTCCTGGTGTGTGTTCCTGGCCTTCAATCCGCAGTCAGCCTCCTTCCAGAGCCAAGACAGTTTGGCCGAGTCAACTGAATCAGATGTCCAAGTCGTCCCATATATTGCTTATTTGGCTTGGAACTTTGGCAGGGACCATGTTTTGAAGGCGGGCGCCCTCCCAAAAGTACGAGTGAAAACAGGATCGACCCTCGATCTCACAAGGTTTTGGCAGGGTTGTTGGATGAATCAACCGAGCGTCACAACCCGGGCCTGGGGAGTCTCCACCCAAGGTCGAGCTAGTTTCGTGCTGAGTAAGCCACCAACACGCGTCTTTGCGCAGAGTGAGCGGTTGGCCAAGTGAATCAAGTGACTCCATTTCCGAGGGCAGATCGCCCTTGGTGTTGCGGGCTTGCTCCTTACATGGGGAAGCAAAAAGAGCCCGAAAAGAGACATGCATTTGTCCCTGTTGCTTGGCTTTGCTGAACTTGTTTGCTCTCCCGCAACATTCTTGTGGGGAGCAAGTCGGGGATTGTTTTTTTCGAGCCAAAATGGGGAGCTCGTCGCACTTTCCGAAGGCTTGCCCCAGAGGAACATAACCGAAACCCTTATCAGCTTCAGTCATGGTTGGGGAGGCCAAGTAGGAGTTTGATAGGGCAAAAAACCAACCATTACGGGGAGCTTCATGGCAGAAACACCTCTCCACGCTACGCTGAGAGTCTCAATCTGGAGGCGGCCAAGGCCGCCAGCACAGTGCCAGGGCCGCCGCCAGCCAAGGCGGGGCGAGGGGCCATGGATTGGAAAGCGAGTGTTTGCTTGTTTGGTGTGTCCGTGTGTGTGTGTGTCTGTGTCTGCGTGTCTGTGTGTGTGTGTTGCTCTGTGTGTGTTGCTCTGTGTGTGTTTGTCTGTGTGTGTCTGTGCGTGTGTCTGTGTGTCTGTGTGTCTGTGTGTCTGTGTGTCTGTGTGCCTGTGTGCCTGTGTGCCTGTGTGCCTGCCTGTGTGCCTGTCTGCCTGTCTGCCTGTCTGCCTGTCTGCCTGTCTGCCTGTGTGCCTGTGTGCCTGTGTGCCTGTGTGCCTGTGTGCCTGTGTGCCTGTGTGCCTCTGTGTCTGTGTGCATGTGTGCATGTGGCTGTGTGTCTGTGTGTCTGCGTGCTTGTGTGTCTGTGTGGGTGTGTGTGGGTGCATGTGTGTGTATGTGTGTGTGTGGTGTGTGTGTGTGAGTGTGTGTGTGTGTGTGTGAGTGTGTGTGTGTGGTGTGTGTGCGTGCGTGCGTGCGTGCGTGCGTGCGTGCGTGCGTGCGTGCGTGTGTGTGTGTGTGTGTGTGTGTGTGTGTGTGTGTGTGTGTGTGTGTGTGTGTGTGTGTGTGTGTGTGTGTGTGTGTGTGTGTTTGTGTGTTGTGTTTGTGTTTGTGTTTGTGTTTGTGTTTGTGTTTGTGTTTGTGTTTGTGTTTGTGTTTGTGTTTGTGCGTTTGCGCGTTGCGTTTGCGTTTGCGTTTGCGTTTGCGTTTGCGTTTGTGCGTTTGTGTTTGTGTTTGTGTGTGGGTTTGTGTTTGTGTGGGTGTTTGTGTGTGTGTGTGTGTTTCTATGTGTGGGTGTGCGTCTGTGTGTCTGTGTGTCTG